CAGTAAGTTTTACCATCCCATGATATTCGAAAGCAGGGGATGTGATATTTTCCTTTATACGCATGCAGAGGAAATCGTCATAGATTATGCAGTGGGAGATGATTATTTTCTTGTCTTTTGAGTAACTGGCATTTTTATTGCATTTTATTGAACAATAAATCAATATAGCAACAACAATTTCGGTTTAAATGAAAGGAAAGTCATGCATCGGACCTGTGTGATTCCTTTGAGGGGCGGTAGCTATTAATCTGGTGCTATAATATATATGAAGTATAAAACCAGCAGAAGTGAATTGCTTGTGCACGGCTATAAAATGCAATTGCGCAGTGGAATATGATTATTTTCTTGTCTCTTGAGTAACCGGGATGCTATCTGTGAAGCTCGTCTTTTTCCGAAAAGTGAGAGAATATTGATGAGGATTACGAAAAATTTAAACCATGGTATACTTATTGCGGAGTTAGGTTATTACAGAGGTATGTCCTAGAATTTCTGCAAGAATGTTACACTCTGTAAAACTTTGGGCAAGTATAGTTTCATATTTAGTTAGTATACTTATTCTTTATGCCAATAATCAGAAGCCTGTTAAATATCGCGCTTTCACTTTTGATATTAGCGGAAATCAGTCAAATAACAATATTATTAAACACCGAGTGCTCTCATTATTGACGTCTTAGAGTGCTTTAGAACCAAAAAACATTGCATTACGAATATCACAATGCGAAAAGCCTCGATCGCCAGCATCGCGAGGAGCGATGACTAAAAAAAGCAAGACCTGGAAACCAAGAGACGGCTGGAAGTTTGCGTTTGTCCCCTGGTTATATTTGTTTACACTTTTTTAAAGCTACGCAAATAGTCAAAATATTTGTGCTGATATTAGTGCTGATTTCCAGTGGATAGAATTATCCAAAGGCCATTTTCGGGGATACATGGCCCTCATTTTACACGGCCGAGCAATAGAGCATCTAGCTTGTTGGTCCTTACTGAAAGTTTATCACTCACTTCCGATATGGGCTGTTATATTAGGTCCCATGCAAAAGGGTAATGTTGTGGAATTAATAACAGTATGCAATTTTTAAGGCTGCATAATTGTCAAAATAGTGAAGAGCAATATATTTCCAGTAAGCAAAATTATCGAGGTTAAATGGCCGTCATTTTGAAAGATTTCTTTACACGGCCGAAAAATAGAACATCTAGATTATTGTTCCTTCCCTGTAATTGACCAGCCATTTTACGTTCTCTTAATTCTAAACGCCCAGCCCTACTAAACAAATAACACCCTATGGCATCAGGCCAGACATGACGCCTGTCTTGTTATATCGCACCAGTGTCTTCATGACAGGTGTCAAATGCTGACGACAGTGAACAAATTAGCGCACTGAATCTCAAAATATTGGACCAATTAATAGGTGCAGCCGTGATATCTGTGCGATAATTTGCAACATAAAACTTGCAGAATCCTGTAGGATTACAGGTTCCAAAATGCTTTGACTTGCCTCCTAATTCACATGTCATAATTCGTTGGAATTCGTTGCTACGCGAAATCCGGCATATGCAAACCGCGAATTTATTCTTGCGTGTATCGTGAGTATTCAATTCATGTAACTGTAACCATGCATTGGCGTATAGCCAAGCTTTTAATTTACCCCCCCTGTGCTGATATTTTTCTAATTTTTCATGATATTTTTCGTAACTCATAACACAATCCGTTTTGAAAACGCTGTAATAATACACGAGTCATCCATGCAATGTGTCAAAACAGGTATTGAAAAAAAATATTCAAATTGAGAAATATATGCAGTTTTAACAATTGGAGCATGTAATCAACGGATTGCTTATATGACCAGCTTTCAATCTATTATAGACGCTTGTGTGCTGTGTTCCACTTTTCGTAAAAATGCAAGAAACAAAAAACACCTCGAAGTATAATTTATAAGCTAATATCTAATCGCCCTTGTTTACAAAGAATTCAACGCAGATTGGTGGTTAAATCGTTTGCACATTTCATCTTTTTCAATCGTTGCAAGAGAGATATCCCAATCTACACATGATTTGCATATATTCGTTCGCATTATACCGATTAATAGTACGTTTAACAATTCCTCCGACGTGGCATGTACAATGCAGGGTGTGGTTCTAAGATTTCCCCCGAGCCATGAAAGACTCCTTGATTTTCAGTCATTACGGTCGGGAGAAGAATAAACGATTTGGTACAGACAATAAATCAATGTAGCAACATCAATTTCGTCGTCATCGGACCTGTGTGATTCCTTTATCAATGATAAAACCAGCAGAAGTGAATTGCTTGTGCACGGCTATAAAATGCAATTGCGTTGTCCCTACGTACCTGGGTCACTAATAATCTTATCTCGAAGTGCAGCCACAGGAGGATGAAGAGCCATCTTGTTGATCATCTCATGATGGTGGTGTGGGCCGTGAATGTGCGGATGGCCTTTCGAAGCTGCATCTTCATCTGCGGCTGGTGGGTGCTCCTTCATAATCAGGTCAATCTGATCCTTGTGCTTCGTTTCTAGTTCTTTGAGTAACCCAGCAAGCCATTTGTCGATCACCTTTCTATCTGAAGGAAGCCATTGGCTAATACGATCAGGTTTGCTCATGTTTATTCGGGTACTGTGTGCTTCACTGCTTCTGCAACCACAAAGTGACAAATTTTTAATGACGTGCAGATCTTTATGCTCACTATCTTGGCTTACGCATGCTCTGTTCTGTTTCGGTCACCTAGCGATTCCTCTTTAGTCTTTATGCACGCAATGTGTGTTGAAGTGGGGACATTTTCCACGCATGCATGAATACGCGTAGTCTAACACAGTGCTTTTGTTAAATTAATTCCTGGTGCGAGAATAAATAATTCCTCAGGAATATACGGGTTTTATCCAAATGCATGTTTACAATGATGGTGTTTTAAAACTTCCAAAAAAATCTATTGAATATTATTAGGGGGGGTGAAAACTAGAAATCAATCCGTACCGATTATGAGTCTCATTTATATGACAATAAGGAGGATAACGATAGAAATTTCATTTCTGCTAACCGCATGTGGAACAATAACAAATTGTAATGCTGTAATATCCAGACACTTAAATCGCCGGATGGAAAAGGAAAGTATGTTAGCGTCATAGAAAGCAAAGCTCTATGGGGTTTATTGAATAATAAACAGATTCTCGAAGGCTCCTGAAAAGAGCGAAATATAATTGCACAATTGCATTACAGCGTGCGGGGCATAATTGAATGAATGTGTGAATATGTATATATTCATTAATCAAACCCAAATTTTAAAGCATACGTCAAAATAACAATAAGTGCTCTTTCTATTAAAACGAACGGGGATATTGGTCAGGCTCTTCCACGTCATAATATGCATAGGCTTAGAACATCACTAACCCAAGAGATGATTTCTAGCGAGATGTGAAAAATGCACCCGCTGGTACGGTCTTTCTTGCAGGATCATAAATATAAACATCATCTCACGCTGAAGTGAATATCGTATAGGCCCGGCATGACTTTTGAAATGCGTTTGTGTTTGTGTTTGTGATCACAAAGCTGTATCCTGTCTTTGTTGTTCTTTTGAGTTCAAATTTTCCGCAGTTGCAAAAGGCTGGCGATTGATTTGTGATTGCGGTAAAACCGTCTCTATAAAGGCCCACACAGACCGGACGCGAATTGGCAACGCGGCGCAAATTTTCAACGTTTTTAATTTTTGAAAATCAAATAAATTTTAAACTATCATAATAATCTTGTAGATTACATAACAATAAAACATTTTGACTGGTCTAGCGTCCATAGTTTCCAAATTTTGCTTCCAGGATTTGATTTATGTGCTTCTGAAAACTCAAAATTCGCGTCGCGTTGCCGCATCGCGTCCGGTCTGTGTCGGCCTTAAGAGTCTTAGGGGGGGTGATGCTTCGAGCGGTTAGATGTTACGATATTAAATTACACTGTCACACGTTCTGGCTTTGATCTGTTTATTATCATAAATGTTCGTCTAAAATACCCTATTCGTCAATACTTCAATCACATCTCTTCTTCGTAGCCTCAAAAGCAAATTCTCTTTATTGTCCGTACTTTTCCCAACACTATATCGTCTCTTCGTCACTACTTAAAATAGACTGTTCACGTGTTCAGCGCATGCAATCATTATTGTTATAATTATCTCGTAACATAGAGATGTAGTGGTGGTGGTTTTGAGACTTGAGTTGCTATATTAGTTTAGACGGCTGAATGGCATCTCTTAAGATTAGGCTTCCTAAATTCCCTGTCTTTAAACTGATGACAAGTGCATAGCTTAGATTTGTACGCGAGCTGAAGATAACTCGTATAAACCAAATGCGAGTAACTAGACTCGCTTTTTTAAACTATAGGCATTCGCGATTTGTTCAGTCTTTCTTGATTACGAACACAATTGATGGAGAGCGTAACATTAGCCACTTGCACGGTAACGAGAGGTCCTAAGTATATGCCTATATGTATAACGATACGTCATTCTAATTTCTATGTTTGGACAGAATCATGGGTTAATGTGAATGCACAATAAATTTTGAGGAGTAAAAATTGCCCTATTTAGGGGTAAATTTTACCCACATTATGGTAGTAATTAGTTTTGGGGTAAAAATTACTTTAAAATAACGGGTAATTTCCTCCTTTGAGCGTAATTGTTGCCCCACTTCTAGGTGTGATGAAAAAAGCGATGACAATTACGCTCTTTAGGGGAACGCCGGGGTAAAACAAAATATTTACGAAGGAAATAAGAAATTTATGTAATGTGATTTTATAAATAGACTACTAAGGCAAGGTGTACCCCCAAGGGGATACGCCTTGCCGACGATAATTAAAAATCTTATATTATGGGCTTTGCGTCCAATCTAAAAGACCGACAGGTAATGGATGGCACGCAATATGGGAAAGGTGGTGAATGGCCAGCAGCAAATCGAAAACTAACAAAGACCGAATACCCAAACCACAAACGGTCAGTTTAAGCGTGACATCGCAAAAGACAGAGCTCCTTTAAAGTTGAAAGGTATTTACAGAAGTGTTATATTTGTTTTTCTATATATATATTTATATATTAATATAGCATATACATATAGTAGCTACGAATACACAATGGTACCCCCAAAAGTTTTGGTCCTGGGACACTCATTTGTTCGTCGCCTACAGTGCGACCTGAAACGTAAGCGGGATATTCGCATGTGCCCGACCTTTAAACTCAAGGGCACAGCGAGAGTTTATCTACACGGTATAGGGGGTAGAACAGTGGAGAAGATCCGCAAATTTGATTTAGGGGTAGTTTCTCGGTGTGCCCCAGATATTGTTATTCTGGAGATAGGCACGAACGATTTGTCCGCTTTAAGGCCCGAAACAGTCGGTTCACGCATTGACGACTTGGTTGCTTTAATGCTAGATCAATATCGCGTAAAATTGGTATGCGTATGCCTGATTTCCCCGCGAAAGAACAACCCTCTTTTTGAAAAGCAGCGTTTAATGCTAAATAATTACCTACAGGTAGTTTTAGAGAAGGTCCCGAGAGTGTTCTTATGGACACACCATGGCTTTATACGACCTTCCGTGACGCCATTTCTACCTGACGGGGTCCATTTTAATAGAATCGGGCAATATAAATTATACCGAAGTTATCGGGGGGCAATTCTTCAAGCAATTAAAATGTTATAAAATTCTTTCTCTATATATATATAACAAGCTGCATGTCGTACGTTACATTTACTTTGCTATAACCTTGAAATTTGACAAACTTTACTCGTGATTACTTCTTATGAAGCGCCTTAGCGCCTTTATCTATTCTATCTTTATCTCTTATCTATATGAGAGTTCTCACACTGTTTGTGATTTTTGTTGGCCATATGATTAACGGTGCGGCGATCTTCGGATCTGCCATGTTCATCCTGCTGACGTTTGACTTTGTCTTTATCTCTCATCTATATGAGAGTTCTCACATGTTTTGTGAGTTTTTTGTTGGCCATAGGGTGAATGGTACGGCGATCTTCGGATCTGCCATGTTCATCCTGCTGACGTTTGATTTTATCTCTCCTCTATATGAGAGTTCTCACACTTTTTGTGAGTTTTTTGTTGGCCATAGGGTGAATGGTGCGGCGGTCTTCGGATCTGCCATGTTCATCCTGCTGACGTTTTATAATCATTCTTTCACACATTCCAACTTTCAATTACGACAAAATTAATAACGAACGAATCCTCACTATTGAATGTTCACCTTACGGGGGATAGTTTTATTTCTCGCACAACGACAAAAATTTGGGTACGGTTGCTTTACTATCTTTAACTCATCACGCCATAAGTATCTATTTCTGCTTTTAAAGTTTTATTTTTTAGAATGCCACCCGTGCGTCGTTCTAAGCGGGTCGCCGCTCCATCAGCCGTTTTGCGAGAGTCTGTTCAGAACCAACCAACAACATCTCGCAGAACTCGAAGTTCTCCCAATGCTGTATCTGTTGGTGCCACCCCGTCAACGTCAACTGTGCCCGTGAGTGATGTGGCTTTGCCCTCTCTTTCGAGTGAGCTTATCTCAACACTGGTGTCTTCGGTTACCGAGGCAGTCGCGCAAAAGTTAGCTGGCTTCTTACCAACCTCTGCGTCTTCAACATCCACAATGGCGTCTGCCCCAACAGATTCTACCTCCGGAATCGAAATCTCAAACCAGGGTCCCAATGCAGATTCTCTGGTCAACGACGCGCTCACGTCCATACAAGAAAACCTTACAGGTCAGACCACTCCTTTTTCTCTTCCATGTTCAAGTGCTTCGGGTCCACGGGAATCGTTCCACTCTGCCGCTTTGCCTCTTGATTCACGGATTCCGGATAAAATAAAGTTTAAAATATGGAATGAGGAGTTTGTCGATATAAGTACTTTGTCAGGTGGCCCAGACGCGGCCGCTAAATACGAGATTAGTGTACGGACCTCTGACAACGGTCAACCTGCTTCTCTTCTTCTTGAGCCGGCTGCGAAATCCAAAAGGGTCAAAACTATTAGCGATTGGCTTCGTTCGTTTCATATTTTTGTTTCCATTTATACACAACGGTACCCTCATGAGTCCCCCGCGCTCATGAAATATTGTCAAATCATCCAGGATTTGGCCAATAGGGGTCATAATTGGTTTTACTACGATGAGAATTTTCGGTTTTTGCGCCAAACACAGGCCACGCGCGTTCCCTGGGCGACCGTTCACTGGGAGTTATGGTTGAAATCTCAATATCCCACTACGTCTAAGCCGAACACGCAAGGCAACAATTATACGCGCCACCCTTCAAAGGTGTCTGTTCCTCGGGGATATTGTTTTAAGTTTCATCGCGGAACGTTTTGTGCCGGTTGTGATTTCAAGCACATTTGTTTTAAATGCAACGGATCGCACCGTGCCGTGAATTGTAATTTTCGTGCCAACAACAGACCATCTCCCACTGATCGATCGCCTAAGCCTATTTCAACAAAGTCCGTTGCCAACACCCGTAAAACTTCATAATTTACAAATATTGTTAGAAGGTTATCATCCAAGTATTGTTGATACACTAATTTCCGGATTTACTTCGGGTTTTCGCATTCATTTCTCTGGCGCAGAACAGTCGTTTGAAGCAAAAAATTTACGGTCTGCTCTTGACAACCCAGAAGCGGTTGACCAAAAATTAACGAAAGAGTTAGAGGCATCTCGCCTTGCTGGGCCATTTAATTCTCCGCCCTTTCCAAATTTTCGGGTTTCGCCTTTGGGCCTGGTTCCTAAAAAACAACCGGGTGATTTTCGCATGATTCATCATTTATCGTTTCCAAAGGGAGCATCGGTTAACGATGGTATACCCGATTTCGAAACATCTGTGCGGTACGCTACCGTTGACGACGCTATTCAACTTATTAAAAAAGCGGGCCGGGGTTGTTTCCTGGCAAAAACAGATATAAAAAATGCTTTTCGAATCATTCCTATCAGCCCAGCGGATTATCACCTCTTAGGCATAAAATGGCGGAGTTTGTATTATTACGACCGGGCAATGCCAATGGGTTGCTCCAGTTCGTGTCGCACTTTTGAGATTTTTAGTACGTCTATCGAATGGATCGCTAGGGAAAGGCTTAACATCGGCAAACTCCTTCATTTGCTCGACGACTTCCTGTTTGTTGCACCGGATTATTCTGCTTGTAAAACAAACTTACAATTATTCATTGCTCTTTGTGATTTCATTGGCGTGCCTATAGCACCGGAAAAAACCATGGGTCCCTCAACAACCTTAACGTTCGCTGGGATTGAATTAGATACAATACAATTCCAGGCCCGATTGCCGATTGATAAAATCGAGAAATGTGTTCAATCTATAGCACGCTTTTTAATTCGTAAAAAGGTTACACTCAAAGAACTTCAGTCCTTAATTGGATTACTTAATTTCGCATGTTCCGTCATTATGCCAGGTCGCGCATTCCTGCGACGCCTAATTGATCTAACGCGTGGCATTTCACACCCTCATTTCTTTATTCGCTTAACGCAAAGTGTGAAACATGATCTTCGTGTCTGGCAAACGTTTCTGTCGAATTTCAACGGCAAATCATTCTTTTTGCACAACCATTGGCGTGATAACTCCCATTTGAATTTATATACTGACGCTTCGGGTAGTATTGGTTTTGGGGCCCTGTTTGGTTGCGACTGGTGCTATGGCGCATGGCCAATTGACTGGCGGAGTTACAATATTGCCGTTCTAGAGCTATATCCGATTGTCCTCAGCCTGTGTTTATGGGGATCAAAAATGCGCAATCACTGTATCTTGTTTCTCACGGATAATGATATTCTTCGGGCACTTGACTGGGAAAATTTAGATTCCAGACGAAGTATGACCAAGGCAGCATTATTATATAAAATTTTGAATGATTATACCGCACCTAATTTGAAAGAATTATTCATCAGGAGGAATCTTTTGCAAAATAATTATGACCTCAGAAACTGTCACATTGATTTGGCTCTTCCAAAACCGAGACGAGAATTTCTGAAAAAAAGTTTTAAGTACAGTGGTGCTAAACTTTGGAATAATCTTTCGCAAGAAGCTAAGGAAGCGCAATCTATTTATTCTTTCAAAAATATTGTAAAGCAAATGAATTGTTAAATAGAATTAAGATTCAATCATGTACAGATCTTAGCATACGGCCGGATCACACCAACTTAATCTATTTTCTTACTTATATATTTCTCTTTTGTAAATAGCTATGTAGATATATTATTATCTTTTGTAAATGTTCTATTGTGTTTTGGACGCCCCTTATGGAAACCAACTTTTGTTGATAAGGCTAGCGTCATTAAAGAAGGTTTTACATACATACATGAAGCTTTGGTGTCTGTTATTAATAAGCAAACATCAAAGGATTCTTATATCATGACACTCGTTCGCCGGATGGTTTTGGTTTGTTTAGAAAACAATATTTTATTCAAAGCAAAGCATATACCAGGTAAACAAAATGTCCTAGCTGATTGTTTGTCTCGTTTACAGCTCCAAAAATTTTCACAATTGGCGCCGGCCGACATGCATCGAGCTCCAACGCCTATTCCCTTTCACCTGCTGCCGGAAAATTGGCGACTATAGTTTCTCAATTAGCTCAAAGTAGCTTGCAACCTTCTTCAGTGCCGACTTATAAGCGGGCATGGGCACTTTTTGCGCAATTTCATGTGGCAATTTTTAATGAGGGATCGTTCACTTTGCCTTTGTCGCCCTCAGTCGTCGCGTTATTCATAGCGTACTTATTTGACCTCAAGTACGCCTCTTCAACAGTTAATACTTATGTATCTGCACTGGGTTATACTCATCGCATGTCCGATCTACCGGATCCAACGAGAGTTTTCTACGTAACGCAAATATTAAAGGGGTATGGTAAGAAAGGCTTCCGCTTAGATAGTAGGTTGCCTATAACTTTACCAATTCTCAATCGTCTTATTGAGGCTGCGCCTCATATTGCTGGGTCACCGTACCAAATATGTCAATTCCGGGCAATGTGCTCTTTAGCATTTTTCGCGTTCCTGAGAATTGGAGAAATAACTAAGAAGTCAAATAGCCAACCCCTTCAATTGCGACATCTCTCCAAACTATCTTCCGATGATGGCCGGGTTGCAGGCATAAGGTTGACTTTCGAGGATTTCAAGCACAATTATAACAGTGGACCTTTTAGTTTGGAAATTCACAGGCAAACGGCATGCTGTCCTGTTCGCTTATTAGAGGAGTACATGATTTTGCGAGGCGCCCAGCCCGGAGCTATTTTTCTATCACAACTGGGCATTCCAGTCTCATGTGACGAGTTTGCCAATCTTCTTAAAAAGGCTTTCCGCTTCTGTGGACTCGATACTTCCAAATATAAGTCTCATTCATTTCGAATAGGCGCCGCCTCCCACGCAGCTGAACACGGGCACTCGGATGCCCAAATTCGAACTATGGGGCGTTGGAAATCGAACGCATTCCTCAAATATATACGTTTTTCTTCCCTATCAACATAGTTTGGATGAATTTTCGAGCGGAAAACCTGCGGGGAGTTTCTGCTCGAATTGCGCGGCTATTTTATTTCTTCCTCAGCTTGCACATGGTCAGCAAGGGCGATCGTTTGCATTCTGGGGGAAATAAAGTGCTTATAACAGGGTGATGGAGAAGCTTCTTCTTGGCGCGGTAATGTTGTGACTCTGCTAAACTAATATCAGTTAAGTGTAGATTATCAGCAAGGGCGATAATCTATGCCTTTTCACAGGCTTTGTAAGTGCCTTTTTGCCCATGTTCGTTTATCAGGTCGCGCAGACCGCTGATCCTGTATTATTGTATTACGAAACTTTCTGAATGCATCCCTTTCCTTGGGGTGGGGTCAACTTGCTTTGCTTCGTTGTTTTGGCGGTAATTTGCCTCCACCCTTTTCTGAGCGTAAATATTTGGAATTTTAATGCAATGTATTAATAAATATCGTTTTGTTTAACAGAAATAAAGCGGCTAGGAGAACCATTACTCCTAGCCAAAATTATCCCAAAACGGCGTAAAATTTAATGTGTCTTTATTATGCTCAGAAAACTGAGCTGCGGAAAGGGTATGCAAAATTCATGGCTGGCAATATATCTATATGCGTAAATAAATCACATTACATAAAACAAAATATTTACGAAGGAAATAAGAAATTTATGTAATGTGATTTTATAAATAGACTACTAAGGCAAGGTGTACCCCCAAGGGGATACGCCTTGCCGACGATAATTAAAAATCTTATATTATGGGCTTTGCGTCCAATCTAAAAGACCGACAGGTAATGGATGGCACGCAATATGGGAAAGGTGGTGAATGGCCAGCAGCAAATCGAAAACTAACAAAGACCGAATATACCCAAACCACAAACGGTCAGTTTAAGCGTGACATCGCAAAAGACAGAGCTCCTTTAAAGTTGAACCCACCTCCTCCCCAAAGCCTCCGCTAAAAATTATGTACATTGGACGATTTACCGTAACTGATATATATAGAGGAAGGAACGTTATATCTTAATTAGTGATGGTCGTAGGCCGTATCTACAGGTGCTGGCGGTAATTTGCCTCCACCCTTTTCTGAGCGTAAATATTTGGAATTTTAATGCAATGTATTAATAAATATCGTTTTGTTTAACAGAAATAAAGCGGCTAGGAGAACCATTACTCCTAGCCAAAATTATCCCAAAACGGCGTAAAATTTAATGTGTCTTTATTATGCTCAGAAAACTGAGCTGCGGAAAGGGTATGCAAAATTCATGGCTGGCAATATATCTATATGCGTAAATAAATCACATTACATAAAAGTTACCACCACTTACAGGGTAAATAAACCCGTGAAAAGTTACCCTATACGTGGTGGGTAACATCACTGAGCTATATAATAATTCCTGGAGGACCGGCTCCTGTCAAAAAAGTGAAGCAAGAAACATGGCGGATTTTTCGTGCTGACGCCAGATATAGGCCAAACTGGCCATGGTAATGATCACTGACACGGCTCAATATTGAGCCCACACCAGTGATTTTTCCCCCGGTCACTTTTTGTCAGTAAACGTGTTGGATTCGTTGTTTTGTAAACGACTGAACGTGTGTTTTACTGTAATGTTTTATAAACAATCCTGCTTTAATGAACATTAAGCAAATACTAAAATCACAAGGAATCGGGGCAATTTTGAAGCTAAAAAGGTATTTACAAAGTTTTCTATAATATTTTGATTATTTGTTTGTGCAAATCTTTGAGATGTGACTGGCAAGTCAGTTGGCAACTGCCGATCAACGGTCGACAGGAAATTGTTTTCGATACGTTAAGAAACAAAGACAAAGTTGCCGTTCATCATGTAGTAGGCGAGAAATATATTTGAGGATGGTTAAAAAGAAATTAAAAGCTTACCCGATTGCAGTTTACAGATTTTATGTAGTATAAATCCGTTTGAAAACATGCGAAAATCTGTCGTTTAGTTCTGATTGGCAACTCGTGTACTTGCCAATCGGCGATCGAGAGCGTTTTTTTGAACCTTGTTTTAAATTTTTTGAATATTTTTAGTCGTGTGTTATTTCTCTAAATTGTTTTTGTTTTTTTAGACAAAGGAGTCTAAAATAAAAACTACAAAAGTGATAGTGATATTTGAATCATTGGCCTTGGCTGACAGGTATAGTACACTATTGCCATCATATGTATTTCAGGAAATGTTTTGGAATTTGGATTGCAAAAACTGATTAAGTAATTTAAGTTAAGTAAAAAAAGGCCCAATTTATCCTGATGGACCATCTCTCAAAAAAAAAACTACTGTTGATGGGAAACTAATCAATTTCTCAGGAATACACAAATGGCGTATGTGATATGAGACATTTGTCCTTGTCTAATTCAGGTCAGTTCCTTTATAATCAAGAGGCCAATGCATTTTTCTCTTGCTTATTGAAATTGTGAACTTCCAGGCTGCTAATTAGCTTCCCTTACGAAAAAAACACATGTGAAAACCACATGTGGAATCACATGTGACTCACATGTGAAACTGGAACAACCACTTGTGGTTATATCACATATGACTCAAATGTGGTTATATCACATGTGACTCACATATGGTTATATCACATATGACTCACATGTGGTTATGTCACATATGACTCACATGTGGTTATATCACATATGACTCACATGTGGTTATATCACATATGACTCACATGTGGTTACCATGTATGACATGCAGGCTTGCATGTGATTCACATAAATAAATTCATGCTAGGAAAAAAAATTGAACACATGTAACAAGTAAAAGCAACAGTAAGTAAAATCAGTAAAATTATATTTCATTGAAAAAATAGATTACAATGTTATGAATTCAATATCAAGTATAGAAAACTAAAGATTAACAAGTATATTAGATTGACTATTAAATTTATTAAGTTAATGTTCTACTGTCCTTATTCTTTTTCTTCCTGTCTTTTCATCCTGTTCCCCATGGATACTCTGATATCCTTGCACTTTTGTGCCATGGTGCACTTGATTGCCGACTCATTGCAGGTGCTTGGAAATTTTTTAGTAACATAATCTAAAAAAATATAAACAACTCTAATATATCTCTATAAGCAAAGCTTCCTCTTATGCTCCATTGCAAAGCACACACCAACCTATAATCAGTTCCACTTTTGTGAGATTTAGTGCTGGTCGCCCTTCTTTGCTCTATAGTCACTGATGATTTCGCCAATACAGATCTTGCCCATTGTTGGGGGCAAGGTGCTACACTGCGAACAGTATACCCGTAATTCTCGAATGTTTGTTGTGGTTAATGAGCTTTGTTTTGCTTTTGCGAGACTTGTATACTTGAGCCAACCATCATCGCTTAAAGCAACTAGTGGATGCGGTAGACTCTGTAGCCATGTTTGGAAGGTGTTGGAAGCTGAAACTGCACTCATGATTGTTAGGCTAGGAGACATTGTAGATAAGTTTGTAGAAATAAGGGATGAGTGTAATGTAAATAGCATAATATGTTAGCAATAACACTGTGGACAGAGACTAGCTAAAGAAGTAAATAAAACCTAGTTAGACAAATTCAACTTTGAGTATTTTCTAGAAAATCTGTATGGTTTATTTTTTTGTGTTTGAATGTGTTTTTATGGCGTTTTTCCTAATGTTACTTCCTTCAAAGCAAACGAATTTTAAGAGCAAAATGCTAGTTCTTGAAAAATGCTGTTTTGTACCAAAATGGTTGTTAAGAATATATCATGACGTTTTGCATTATACTTAATTAATATCTTATAATCCCCGAGCGGGCGCGGAGCGCCTGCAAGGGTACTAATTCCGCTCGGAGATTAGGAATTACACCCAGAACCCGGTAGAACATAGGCGAATCCAAAGTTGTCCAAATTAATCTTTTTCATGGACGGTCGACGTTGGGTGGTTTTGTAAAATATGTGCATGCGCGAGTAACGTCTGGTAATCAACAAACGTTCTGATTGGCTAAGAAAGTTTGTATTTCAATGAGGACGTCAGCAATTTATATTAACTGTCGACAATTTATATTAACTGTCGACACTGTCGATCATTTCGTAAACATTTTTGTAAAAGCGTTTCATAAACTTTGTGCAAAGAAACTAAAACGAGAAGAAACAAGATATTATATGAAGCATGACAGTTAGCAAAGATGAACGTGGATACGGTCAAGACAAAGCCGTGTAAGAGGAATAATTCATAATCTGCAAACTTATAAATGTTTTCAAAGACAAAGGGTACGTGTTCACTTTGTTTCTTTCGTATTTGTTTCGCAATAAGAATGAGCCGTATTTGTATACGTTTCAGCTTTGTATGCCGTTTATTTGATAAATTTTCAGCTTTTTATGCAAACGCATAAACCTGTGAAAGGCTGTTACACCTTTGCTTTAACTTCAAAAAGTGTTTTGAAAGTGTAATTTGAATTTTGGTATCAAAAATACACACCATATATATATATATATATATATATATATATATATATATATATATAATTATATATATATATATATAAGTATAAAACTTTTATAGCCGCCGGCGTCGACTGCAATTACATAATAAAATAACATTTGAAGTTTTTTCTTTGTCTGTGAAGATTTTGTACTGTTTTAATTGTTTGAAACTTCGATTTTAAACCGTTACTTTATTGCTGGCATGGTATAATGCAGCAAAATTGAACGGGCAAAACATTTGCTATAAATCTACTCGGTAAAATAAAATAAGACTGATTTGAGTTTTGTGTCATTTCATAATATAAGTTTAGGTCAGGTTAACTCAGGAAATTGTGTACTTGGTTTGAAATGGCGAGGGGTTGCTGCATGCATGTATTTCTAGTATTAGAATATAATATATTAGAGGATTGTTTACTTTAATTAGCATTGACAATAAAAATTGATTTCAAGTCATTTGCTTTCGTTTTTTGTGTGCTTTGGTCTAAGATTTTGTTGTACTCACAATTAATAACTCCGATTCTGTTATAACAGTTATAACAGTTATAACTATACATACTGTTTAATTAAGTCTAGCTGCCACATGAAATGCAAGATGCATATGATTGCCGTGTGAATCACATGTGATCACATGTCAATCCCCTGTTTTAAACATGGGAGACACATGTGGTTCACATATGATTTGCATGTGTGGTCAATCTGTCAAAACTTTTCACATGTGAAGACATGTGAACCACATATGAAGACATGTGAACCACATGTGAATACATGTGAACCACATCTGTTCACATGTTACCCACATATGAAACACATGTGAATTACCTGTGTTTTTTTCGTAAGGGGCATGTATACATAATAATTATGTTACTTGTTGGCGGGCTAATTCCGACAAATTTTTACGTGAAAAGTCAAACCTATAGCTGCAATATAGCTATGTTCTAGGTTTTCTACTTTATGTTCACCTTGTTTTCGAATTCAAATGACGATTGGTTAAATGATTAGCTTAAATCCGTCATTAGTTCAAAAAAGATGAAAACACTTTTTCCTCGTACTGTTGGTTACATTAGTAATATAATGTCAATCAATGCATGAATGTAGCTACTGTTTCGTATCAAAGTTTATAGTAGAGGAACGGGCCCCATGCTCAGTGGTTTGACAGAAAAGGCCCCATGCAGGCATGAATATCAGGAAATTATTATACTTGTAAAAATTGTTGGGGCTCAAACAAAAAAAATAAATAAGAAAACTATTACACTTGTCTTCCTAATAAATCTGTATCTCCCGCGATTAGGTTTAATGTTTCCCATGTATAGGTATTTAAGCTAAAACTTGGACATTTCTTATATTAATTGAGCCTCACATACGTATCTGTAGTTAAATTACACTGAAAAAAAAAATCAAATAAGGAACATTCATTCCCAAACCTTTAATGCGGTTTTCATCCCTGCAATTGCCAGATTTTACAACAATGCGATCATTGAAATCATGCAGAAAAAGCAAAATTAAGCCCATTTCTAATTACCGTGTATAATGCTAACGTTAAACAAATGCTAAACAAACACCCTACAACACCCCTTAAGTATGGTTATAAAAAATTACCAAGCAGCAAATAATGAAAGAGAAAAAGTCAAGTATGAATGACAATGTCATTTGCCTCCTTTACCCTTCGGTTTAGAAATAACTGCTATTCTTGATCGTACTGGAATATTGAACAGATCTTTATGTGTGCCAGGCTTTTGATCACGTAAATCAAACGAAACATTCACCCACGGCTGGAAAATGAGGCAATGGGTTGAGCCACCAAAATGGAACATTCCAATTTCATCTCCTTTCTTAATGTAGTCACCTTCTTTCACGGTAATCTCATTGGTGGAGACCTCGGACATCCCAACGGAGACAAAAACCATCAGACCAATATCAGGATTGTCGGCCAGGATATAGATGATACCTCTTGCAGCAACTTGGCAGATGTAACCCTGAGATTCATTGGGAGATGCAGGATCGTCTCGAATGTTGTAAGTTTGGCTGTAGTAAGAACCATCGACCAACTCTGTTTTCACAACGTGACCAGAGACAGGACTGTGCCACCGATGGTAGCTGGTTGCACTGAGGAAGGCTTGGTAGAGGGTTCCACCATAAAACCTTCTTGCCATCACATTATTGTTGAGCAAATGATCTATGCGAATATTAATAGATAAGTGATATCCTAATGAAGTCGTGATGACATGACATGATCTGAGGCTTCACAATAGTATATAATTCTACAATGTTTTCAGTCAAACAAACTTTGGAATTGGTGATTTGAAGGCTAGAAGCTATAGAGTGAAGGAGTTTAACTATTACTATTTTAATAGCATATAAACTTATGCCTATTAAGCACTTCTAAATAGATCGACTTCTTTTCTATAACCTTTTACAAGAATACAATATTTGAATATTGCTTGCGAGAGACTCAAAAACCAAAGGTGATATTCAGACAAATATTATTGTGTTATGTTTTCATGGCAGCGGCGGGAAGAATTAAACGTATTATTCAGTACCTAAGTCTACATCTATGCACGATGTGAAGCAGTTATGCTAAATCTTAATAAAATGATGATAAATTATAATATCGCACACAAAAGAACCAAAGATGAGCACTCGCGCGATGATCATCAGAAAGAGCATTAGCAGTAGATATAAAGGTATTCACTACCGTATTCCTTTTTTTACGAGCTTTGCTTTCTGAAGGAAAGAAAAAAAGCTGCTCAAGGACGATACTTTGATATGCTTACCTAGTGAATAATGCTGTCTCTTGACCCAAAACCAGTCTCGTTGTTGAACTTTATCTATCAATTTGAAGGGTGCAGACTCACAGGCATTCGCTACAACATTGTCATCATCAGGAGATTCGACTGGCCGTATTCCAGGCCGATACTTTCTAACGAAGAAATCGTCCCACGATGTGTAGCCATAGTGGGGTTTAGTAGGATCACATTCAAATTCTTTAACAAAATTTGGCATTGCTGCCATCGCATCTTCACCAAACCAACCTGATTCTTTGTCTTTATTCAAGACATAGGTAGAATCATAGCTGGACAAAAATTCGCCCCAATAATTCAGGATGTCCTTGAATAATCTATTCACCTGTTAAGAAAAGTAATGTTAATTTATTTAAAGTTACTTACAGTTTTTGATTAGCTAATCGTATCGATAGGGACGACACACCAATTTTTTCTAGGGAGGGATTGCTTGCACAAAAATTCTGACCAAGCAAAACCGAAACTGGTCTTCTCAAAGATTGTTGAACAACACTTTGTATAACAATGTACTGTGTGCATCAATGACGACTACAGCGAGTGCCAACGAGGAAATTTGAAACGAAAAATGCGAGTGAACAAAGTCTTGTTGAAATAAAAGATTATCAAACGTGGTTTGCCGTTCTGAATATTTGTTTTCGGCTTTGGTTTAGGCCATGTTCAACCTCATTCAATAATAATTGTTAATTATTTGTCATAACTATAAATAAATGCAAAGACGGGTTGTACTAGACTATGTCGGGAAGGTGCATGCAAAGCCAGGGTAAATATATGGCAGCTGTCTTCTGGCTAAGACACAAATAAGCTGCTTGTTAACAAGCTGGCGATATTCGATGATTTGATAGAGATGTTCAATCAAGCTCAAACACTGAAAGTTTTACGTTGTTTACCTTGTCGTTCAGGAAGGCAGCAAAACCAGCCGTAGTTGCCATTGGCCAGTTCAAGATCACGTTGATTGGAAAACCAACCAAACCAGTTTTGTTATACTCGGGTGCCTTTCTCATGATCATGTTGATAAGAAGAATCATGATTTGCCAACACCAGATTTTCTTTCCTTCCGAAATATCTGGCAGCGTTAGTTGTTGCCAGAACATTTGATGGAAAAACATGTTTATTTCTATCAAAATAAAAAATATAATTTAACTTTTCCACGAAATCATAATTATATTACACAGTTTTGCAATTTTAGCAAAATCTTAGCTAATACGATGATACATGTAGCATGCAAAAGCGATGATACATGCGGCATGAAACAATTTATTATTGCAAGTATAGATTGCCGAGTAAGTTTTACCATCCCATGATATTCGAAAGCAGCTAGGGGATGTGATATTTTCCTTTATATGCATGCAGTGGAAATTGTCATATGCAGTGATGATTTTTTGTCTTTTGAATAACTGGCATTCTTATTGCAGAATTTGGGCAGTGAGGCCTTTCGTTTATAATGCAATGTGCAACAGGAAGAGGGATGCTATCTGTGAAGCTCGTCTTTCTCCGAAAAGTGAGAGAATATTAATAAGGATTGCGAAAAATTTAAACCATGGTATAGTTATTGCGGAGTTAGGTTATTACAGAGGTATGTCCTAGAATTTCTGCAAGAATGTTACACTCTGTAAAACTTTGGGCAAGTACAGTTTCATATTTAGTGAGTACTTATTCTTTATGTCAATAATCAGAAGCCTGTTTAATATCGCGCTTTCACTTTTGACATTAGCGGAAATAAGTCGAATATCAATATTATTAAACCCGGAGAGCTCTCATTATTGACGTTATAGAGTTCTTTAGAACGAAAAAAATATTGCATTACGAATGTCACACAATATGTTAACATAATAATAATAACTAAAACCCGGATGAAACGTTACAATCATGTCGTAAGGAAAACAATGCGAAAAGCCTCGACGGCATCGCGAGGAGTGTGGACTAAAAAAAGTTGGACCTGGAAACCAAGAGACGGCTGGAAGTTTGCGTTTGTCCCCTGGTTATATTTGTTTACACTTTTTTAAAGCTACGCAAGAGTCAAAATAGCGCTAATTTCCAGTGAATAGAATTATCCAAAGGCCATCTTTGGGGTTACATGGTCCTCATTTTGAAAGGTTTCTTTACACGGCCGAGCAATAGAGCATCTAGCTTGTTGTTCCTTACTGAAGGTTTACCACTAACTTCCAATACGGGCTGTTATATTAGGTCTCATGCAAAAGGTTAATGTAGTCGAATTAATAACAAATGCAATTTTTAAGGCCGCATAATTGTCAAAATAGTGAAGAACAGTATATTTTTTCCAGTAAGCTGAATTATGGAAAGGCAGTTTTCGAAATGGCCGCAATTAAATGGCCGTCTTTTAAAAAGATTTCTTTACACGGCCGAAAAAAAGAACATCTAGATTATTGTTCCTTCTCAGTAATTAACCAGCCCTTTTACGTTCTCGTAATTCTAAACGCCCAGCCCTACTAAACAAATAACACCCCATGGCATCAGGCCAGGCATGGGCCTGTCTTCTTATATCGCACCAGTGTCTTTATGACAGGTGTCAAATGTTGACGACAATGAAAAAATTAGCGCACTGAAGCTCAAAATATTGGACGAATAATAAATGATGGGTGCAGCTGCTGTTTGTACGAAATTTGCAACATAAAACTTTCAAAATCCTGCACGATTACAGCTTCCAAAATTTTGGCGGCCATTTAACAAAGAGGGCCTTGAATTTCCTCCTAATTCACATGTCATAATTCGTTGGAATTCGTTGCTACGCGAAATCCGGCATATGCAAACTGCAAATGTATTCTTGCATATATCGTGAGTATTTAATTGGTTCTAACTGTAACTATGCATTGGCGTATAGCCAAGCTTTTAATTTACACCCGCTGTGCTGGTATTTTTTCATGATATTTTTCGTAACTCAGAACACAATCCGCTTTGAAAACGCTATAATAATACACGAATCATCCATGCAATGTGTCAAAACAAGTAAAGAAAAAAAAAATTCAAATTGAGGAATATATGCATGTATTAACAATTAGAGCGTGTAATCACCCGATTTCTTTCAATCGAATATAGTCGCTTGTGTGCTTATTTCGCAGGTGAAAATTAATATTTTCGACAAGATCTGTTTTCTATGGCTTGCCTGTCTTCTACTTTTCGTAAAAATGAAACAAAAAACACCTCGAAGTCTAATTTATAAGCTAATATCTAGTCGCCCTTGTTTACAAAGAATTCAACCCGGAGTGGTGATTAAATCATGTGCACATTTAATCTTTTTTAATTGTTGCAACAGAGATATCCCATTCTACGCATCATTTGCATGTTTTCGTTTGCATTATACCGATTAATACTACGTTTAACAAGTCCCCTGACGTGGCATGATAATGCAGGGTGTGGTTCTAAATTTTCCCCGAGCCATAAGAGACTCCTTGATTTTGACATTACGGTCTGGAGAACAGTTAGTAAAAGATTTGGTACAGACAATAAATCAATGTAGCAACATCAATTTCGGTTTAAATGAAAGGAAACTCATCGGACCTGTGCAACTCCTTTGAAGAGCGGTAGCTATTAATCTGGTGCAATATATGAAGTATAAAACCAGCAGAAGTGAATTGCTTGTGCACAGCTATAAAATGCAATTGCGCTGTCCCTAAGTACCTGGGTCACTGATAATCTTATCTCGAAGTGCAGCCACAGGAGGATGAAGAGCCATTTTGTTGATCATCTCATGATGGTGGTGTGGGCCGTGAATGTGCGGATGGCCTTTCGAGGCTGCATCTTCATCTGCGGCTGGCGGGTGCTCCTTCATAATCAAGTCAATCTGATCCTTGTGCTTCGTTTCAAGTTCTTTGAGTAACCCAGCAAGCCATTTGTCGATCACCTTTCTATCTGAAGGGAGCCATTGGCTAATACGATCAGGTTTGCTCATGTTTAAACGGGTACTGTGTGCTTCGCTGCTTCTGCAACCCCAAAGTGACAATTTTCAATGACGTGCAGATCTTTATGCTGACTATCTTGGCTTACGCATGCTCAGTTCATTTCCGGTAACCTAGCGATTCCTCTTTAGTCTTTATGCACGCAATGTGTGTTGAAGTGGGGACATTTTCCACGCATGCATGAATACGCGTAGTCCAACACAGTGCTTTTGTTAAATTAATTCCCGGTGCGAGAATAAATAATTCCTCAGGAATATACGGGTGTTATCCAAATGCATGATCACAATGACGATGTTTTAAAACTTCTAACAAAATCTATTGAATATTATTAGAGAAATGAAAACTAGAAATCAATCCGTACCGATTATGAGTCTAATATATATGACAATAAGGACTTGATAGCGAAAAATTTCATTTCTGCAAACCGCATGTGGAACAATAACAAATTGTAATGCTGTAATATCAAGACACTTAAATCACCGGATGGAAACGGAAAGGATGTTAGCGTGATAGAAAGCAAAGCTCTATAGGGTTTAATGTATAAACAGACTCTCGAAGGCTTCTGAAAAGACCGAAATATAATTGCGCAATTGCATTGCTGCAGGGCATAATTGAATTAATGTGTGTATATGACTGCATGTTATATTCATTAATCAAACCCAAATTTTAAAGCATACGTCAAAATAACAATAAGTGCTCCTTCTATTAAAGCGAACGGCGATATTGGTCAGGCTCTTCCACGTCATAATATGCATAAGCTTAGAACATGGCTAACTAAAGAGATGAATTCTAGCGAGATGTGAAAAAACTGCACCTGCCCGTACGGTCTTTCTTGCAGGATCATAAATTTAAGCATTACCTCACGCTGAAGTGAATATCGTAGGCCCTGCATGACTTTTGAAATGCGATTTTGTTTGTGTTTGTGCTTGTGATCACAAAGCTGTATCCTATCCTTGTTGTTCTTTATAGTTCAAATTTTCCGCATTTGCAAAATGCTGGTGATTGATTTGTGATTGCGGTAAAACCCGTCTCTATATAAGAGTCTTAGCGGGGGTGATACTTCGAGCGCTTATAATTAGAGGTGTAGTGGTGGTAGATTTGAGACTTGAGTTGCTATATTAGTTTAGAGCTGAATGGCATCTCTTAAGATTAGACTTCCAAAAATCCCTGTCTTTAAACTGATGACAAGTGCATAGCTTAGATTTGCACGCGAGCTGAAAATATCTCGTATCAACCAAATGCGAGTAACTAAATTTCGCTTTTTTAAACTATAGGTATTTGTGATCTGATCAGTCTTTCTTGTTTACATGCAGACACAATATTGATGGAGAGTGTTACATTAGCCATGCACTTGCTACGGTAACGAAAGGTCCTAAGTATATGCCTTTATAAGGATACGTCATTCTAAGTTTGGATAGAATCTTGGGTTAATATCAATGTTCATGTTATACATGCTTCGGTTCTGTAATTAACTATAGTTATGTTATATGCTGAGCGTATTCGAGCGTATTAGTGTGAACGGAAGGCCTAAACGCATCGAAATGTATGCGTTTTCAAACGAAAACGCACTAGTGTAGACAGGGCCTAAGTTTCATTAGGATGTTGGGTTAATGTCAATGTGCATGTTGCCAGTGTGCATGTTGCCAGTGTGCATGTGCAAGCTAGGCATTTTGTATGCAGGTGGGAATTCTTTGTTCGAAACAAAGAAAACAAAGCTATGATGATGACATTCAGCTTATTTATTCAGTACAATATGGCGGATCTTTATACATGTTTCGGTTCTGTAATCAACTATAGTGATATTATATCAATTTCGAAACACACGCGGAACCCTCACAGAGATTTCCCAGAGGACAAATCCATTGATAGATTTTGATTCAACAATTAGAGTGGTTTGACGTATAAATATCATAAACATCATAACAGTATGTTAAAAGGTCAATATTTAGGGTTCGCCCTTTCATGCAAGGTCAATTCGCTTGTTCGTGCGTTTTTTGGTTGTGTCAATTTGCAGCTGAATGTGCAAGTGCATTTTATTGAAGCATGTAAATTGTTGCAATATCAGGTTTCTTCAATATTTTGTGCAAATAAAAAGGCATTATAAAAATTATTATTATTGTATATAAGAGAAATGACACTGATCGGCGTTTCCGACGATTTTGGTGCATGAATGATTTAAGCCCCATAAAGATCATTATGCCCTATCATGCAATATATTTAATAATTGATAGTAAAGCTGTTATAAAGAGGCTAAAGCATTGTGATGTATCTGCAATTAGCAAGTTGTCCAAATTCATACAGCCACTTTCATCAATAAACTCAGTGGCCCCGTCAGCATGACATTTTAGTCCTGTTCACTGACTGCATGAAAATAATGAATAATGAAAATTTGGGCTAAATCATCAGGCTATAGCTACGTCACGGCATACAGTTTAAGCAATAAATTTGTAAAATCGAATGCATTTGAAATTTTATTTCTGCAATCCTAACGGAGAAATCAGGCGAAGAAATATTATTAATTAACTGTCCTTTTATCCGTAGATGAACAAAAGAACAAGTCATTCAAGTGCTCTTCACCCGAGGAAAGTCTTTTTTCGAAATTTACCGATCCTTGAAAGAAAAATTAGCATTTGACCGATTCTCTATAATGCATTTGCGGTGGCAAAATTCTTTTAATATTTTCTGCATGTACACAGGGAAATGTGTTCCTCACACGATCTATTCAAAATAATTTTCACATGAAAGCCAGATCGGCTTTGGGACAAGAAGCGATCGCGTGACAAGTTGGCAGTTGCAGCAACCGATATTCCTATGTTGGTAATTTAAGACCTCTTCACGTGCCTAATACACGGCGTGAAATATAGCTTGAAGTATTTTTATATTCTTTGCACAATTATCTAAAAAAATTACAAATTTGGTAAACACCTGACATGAAAGCATTGCATGCATACATTGCTACAATCTTGCACACAACCTGTTGAGACTATATGAATTATCCCAATTAATCACCAAATATCTCAATACAACTCGAAACAATATTGATTCATGAGGGGGCGCGTTACATGCAGTTGATTCAGGGACATAACGCTGATAATTTCCTCAATGTAGTCTCAAGGGTTTTGTCTACAATTGTAGTATGCCAGGTATACAGTATAAGTACGTACATTATACAACTACAATTGATAGACGTAGCTATGCAGCGCTTTATACGTTAATCTGCACAGCTTGTATGGTAGAAAAATCCAAACTTCCTAATTCCTCTGGACTTCTGTCATACTTAAAAGACATGTGATTCCGCAACTTGGTTGAAATATTTGTTCCTACCGTGAAGCCGTCCTAATACTCGAGATCCACACACCGCGAAAATCGTTAAGTGGGGGAGAGGCATATATTTATATAATAATGGTAGCAGAGCGTAAAAGCATCAACTTCAAAACAAAGTAATAATGCTGAACATGAATAGATGAGTATATCCACCATCAACGATCTTCCGCGGACCCTGTCGAGATCAAATCTGAATTTAATTCTGAAATTAAAATGAATTTAATTGGCGACATGTGACGATAGTATTCACGGCATTGCCATTAGTCATTGTGTGATTTGAGTCAACAACCACACGAGGATTAATTCAATTCATCTAATTTAGCATGAAATTTACAATCCAAAAAAGGCGATCGTGACTGAGGAATTATAAAATTAACGTGGGCGCTATAGAATCAACCTAAATTTTTCTCCACTAAGGGGCTGTTTACATGGGGTATTTTTAGCCCGGATATAACCGGGGTTGTTATAAAATTCTAACCGAAAATCGCGCACGCGATTACATGACAAGAATTCAGCCCGGGCTGAGTTTCAACTCAAAATTAAAGCCAGACAGAAAAATTCGCCTTCACAATGCTTCTTCGTTTGTTTATTTCATTTTTAAGTGCAGTCATATAGTGTCTTAAAGGTCAAGTTATTGTCACTCGGGATTTTAAAGCGCTCGAAGAATCGAAATAGGTCTACTACCAGCCTTTACAAACTCAGCCCGGGCTGAAATTTCAACCTGGTTTCAAAATAATTCTGACGTGTCATAACACAGCCCTGGCTGAAACTTGTCATGTATCTGAAATATACTTTGGCCCCGGTTTGCCGGGCTGAAACTCAGCCCGGGATGAAAAGACACCATGTAATCAACCCCTAACCTGGGCCTCGAACCCCGTATATATATAGTGATTATTTATAAATCATTTTCGCTGTAATTTATTTTGACAACCGATGTACATGTTTCCGCCATTGTCAGTGGTGAACCTCAAATGTTACATACTTGATTATACGCATGTTACATCACAAACATACAAATCGGCTGTCGTGCACGGGTATTAAAGCTCATCACTGACACTTGGAATCAGCTAGTTTATGGAAAAAAAACTTAGCGGTTTATAGTCTTGCGCAACTTTTCGTGCACTGGTCTGGTCGACTCTTCTACAGCAGTCTTATATATTATCTCGGTGTCATATATCACTTTGGATCAATTAGAACCATTGATGAAACCAATTTGCTCCGCCCTTTCATTACCGGATTTTACAATATTAATTCCAAGTCTGAGAGTTTTACCGGAATATCTCTCTGGTTTATACTCATATATGGCTGGACACGACTAGCTATCGGCGGCTCTTGAGTTTCTACTTTCTAACACGAACACTAGGATTGAAGTTACATAAGTTGCGCTATTTCGCAATACTGACAATTACCGATACTGACCAATGCGCAATCGCGCCCTTCTAATGTGATGTGCTGCAGTTGACATGCCTCGTTATCACGCGATCGTGTATCATACTTGTACGTCTATAGAATATTGGGAGGGAAAGATATGGCATCATTTTGACCAAGTAGATCAGCCGATCCGCGGCCGCCACTTGAATATCATGGAATTTTTTGGTCGAAATTTTGCGGGTAGATTTATCTGGTGACATTTTCGGAAAATTCGCGATAGCTACGATTCCAGTATTAAAATTTTGCCCCTTGTTTAAAGTATCATGCAATTTCCAATAAATTAAATTTATGTG